TGTACTTTTTCTATAATTTCTACTAGAGACTAATGGAAATACGGGAGGAATAAAATTAAACTAGGAACAAGTAGGCTATAGCCATTTACTCATGCAAAGGGTAAATCAGAACCTCTTGGTGACCAGTCCTTTACATATACATATATATAGGGTCCACTAATACCACATGTGATGATCTACAATCAACTGGTTCTTGTCCAAAAGTCTATCAAAATACACACAGAATTTATGATATATTGTCAATAACTAAGTAAATGTGATTAGATGCAAGCATACATCTCACCAATAGTATTTAGTTTTGCACTCTGGAAGATATGGTCAATATAACAAAAGCATGTGCAGCAGACAGCCTTTAAGAGACCGCCAAAATAATTTCTGCCTCCTGATATTCACACCTTTGTATAATCCCCTTCCTTTATGTGAGGTAGAACCTGTCTGTGGCTTGCTTTTAGTCAATAGACCATGGCAAGGGGATGTCACTCTGACATGACTACGTTATGTCATACAGGACTCTGTCCTGGCAGACTAAAGCTCTTTTCCTGCTGGCTGCGAATACACAAATCGCCATGTTGTGAGAGGCCCATGAGGCAAGGGAACTGTGGGCGACCCGTGGGAACTGACAGCTCCCAGCCAACAGCCAGCAAGAAAACGAGGACCTCAGTCCTGCAACTGCAAGGAGAGGACTCTGCCGTCAAGCTGAATGAACTCTAATTTCTCCCAAATTAAGCCTCCAGATAAGAACACAGCCTGGCTGACACCTCGATTACAGCCCTGTGACACCCTGAGCAGAGGGCCCAGATAAGCCACGTACAGACTTCCGACCTACCAAACTGTGAGATAACAAATGTGTTTTTTAAGCTACTAAAGTTTCTGGAAATTTGCTATGCAGCAATAGAAAACAAATTCAGGGATCCTCCCCCCAGTTAATCCTCAAGATGACGGTAGTTCCAGCTGGTACCCTGATTGCAGCCTAGTAGGAGATCCTAAGCTAGACACGTCCAGCTAAGCTGCGCCCAGGTTCCTGACCCACAGAAACTGTGATATAATACGTTTTTGTTGTTTTAAAGTTGCTAAGTTTTAGGGGCTGGCTCCGCGGCATAGCAGTTAAGTGTGTGCACTCCGCTGCTGGCGGCTGGGGTTCAGATCCCGGGCGCCCACTGACGTACCGTTTGTCAGGCCATGCTGTGGCGACGTCCCATATAAAGTGGAGGAAGATGGGCACAGATGTTAGCCCAGGGCCAGTCTTCCTCAGCAAAAAGAGGAGGACTGGCATGGATGTTAGCTCAGGGCTTATCCTCCTCACAAAAAAAAAAAAAAAAAAAAAGTTAAAGTTGCTAAGTTTTGGGCCAGCCCTGGCGGCCTAGTGGTTAAATTTAGTGTGCTCTGCTTCGGTTCGGTTCCCAGGTGTGGACCTACACCACTTGTCTCTCAGTGGCCATGCTGTGGCAGCAGCTCACATACAAAACAGAGGAACATTGGCAAAAGATGTTAGCTCAGGGTGAATCTTTCTCAAGCAAAAAAAAAAAACTTGCAAAAAAAAAAAAACTTGCTAAGTTTTAGGGTAATTTGTTACACAGCAGTAGATAACTAACACGGCGTCAAACAGGCAAGAGTACAAACACTGAAAGGAAGTGGGTTGATAATCCTAGAAAATCAAAAGAGAAATCAATTAAAGAAAAATCAAGGTCAATAAACCAGGCAGATTCCAGATATATACATATAGAGGAATATATTCTAAAGTACAGTATGAATGTGATTCTACTCTTAACAGCAACAAAAATTAAAATAGCCAGGAATGTATCTGACCCAAATGAATAAAGTTGTAACTTTTTACTGCTTAAATAAAAAAGCAATCTCAATATTGTAAAAATGTCAATTTTGTCCAACTTCATTCATAGCTTTATTTGATTCTAATCAAAACAAGGGAATTTCTTATAAAATATGTAAAAAATCAGTAAAAAATCAAACTGATATCATACCAACAGGGAAGGGAAGATTTACTGCATAAATGGTATGAGATGACTTTAGCTATTTAGATCTTCAATCACAGCCTGCCCTCCTCCATCTTCATCATCACGCACAGAAGACTATAAGCTCCACAGGGGACAGGAGACACTTTTGTCCTACCAGCACCTAGGGGTTGGCGTGTCCTGGGCCACGTCCAGAGCTGCCGTGGGTAGAGGAACACTCCCATGCAACAGTAAAATAGAACAATCTGTGAGGAGGGCAGCCTGGCAAATTCTAAATGGGCATTTCTTTTGCTTGATCTTCATTCAACACACCAATAGAATAAATGACCCAAGTACACAACAGGCAATTCAAGTACACAAAAATTACAAATACACCCAAGAAACCTAAGAAAGGATGTTGAACATGTGAAGAATGATCAATGAAATGCAAGTTAAAATAGCTTCCACCTATCAGATTGGTCAAGATTAGAGACATCAAGTCCAGTCAATTTCAACCTTCATAGTAGTCTCCCACTCTATCCACTTCTCTCCTCTCTCGCCTGATTAACTCATTAGCCCCTATTTGACCTCCTGTTTCCCCTCCTGCCCCACGATGCTTCTTTAAAAACACCAATCTCACCACACCCCTGATCTCCTTGCTTTTAGGCTATATGCCCAAATTCTTAAGCAACCCTACAAGGCCTATTAGGCTCCAACTCCTATTATGCTGTGGCCATGCTGATTCTGTGAGCTGAAATGCCTGCAGAAGACAAGTAGGTAAAGAAAATAAGTGAGGGGGGCCACATGAACACGACAGATGGTGAGTGACAATCAGCTCCAGCATGGGAGAGCAATAAGGAATGCTGGGGACTGAGGCATAGCAGAGCACACAGGCCCTGTTTTCCCTCCAGTTGATGGGTGTCTTGATGGGTGCCAGACCATTAGATGTTTTCTCAGCTATAAATTGGGATTTTAAATGTGAAATCTTGTTTTAGATGTTGGCAACAAACCAAAATTTAACACTCAGAGGCCAAGACTGTGCAGCTCAAATGAACTGTTTCTGAATCACAGGGGACCTTCTACTCTGTAACCTCCAGGTTCTACTCTAGGGTATCAAACCCTAGACAATCACTCCTCCCACCTGCGATTCCTTGGTTGGTTGGTTCGTTCATTTGTCCATTTATTTACTTGGCTTTATAATATATGGACACTGGCCTGAGGAAACGCCTATGTGAAGGCTCAGTTCACGCATCACTTCCTCACACCAGGTTATATGCTCTGTTGACTACAGAGCACTTGTCATGGGAAGTGTATAATTTGCAATTGTGTAACCATTACTGTAATTATTACAGCACAGGACTGTATGTTCCCTGAGGGCCCTGAAGAGTGTCTCTCTGTTCCACTAGTACCTGCTGGCCAGCATAGAGAGGGCAGTGTCTAGAGTGAGGGTCAGGCAAACAGACACCATCAGGCACTGATGGTTCAAGGGTAAAATGGAGCAATCTCGGGGGTGGGCAGCCTGGCAATTTATTTTAAAAATCTTAAATGGGCATTTCTTTTGACTGAAAACTTCATTATCATGTTTGAGTGGTCAGATGAGAGATGATTTCCCCCTTTTCTTTCTCCTCTTTGTTTGGCACAACAACTTGAATATTCTAGCGGGGGAAAAGTCATTATATTAACAGTGAGTCCAGGAGCAATAACTCTCCCTTAATGAATACATACTTCCACCCTGAAAAAAATGGCATTTCGTCACTCTTACTCACCTTGTAACTACAAGTTCATTGTACATTAGTGTCGGGCCTGGTTTCCCAGCCCTGACACCTAAGAGTGGATTTAATAGGACAGAAATATTTCAGATCCCATCTTTAACTGTCTGAAAAATATCAACCATAACACCCCAAACTTATACACGGATTGGAGGGCCAGAGGTTGGGAAACTCATTTTGTCTCAGGTTTTTGAGAGTTGGTCCTGTAGTTCCGTTCTGTGTAGAAATGTAGTAGCAAAGAAAATGTAGATCAAGTTAGGGACAAAACAAGGGACAAGGCAATATCGGGAATATCCTTTATTTGACATAGATAAAATTTTCCTCCAAACTTCTATGCATCTCAAATGTATTGGAGAGCTGTTTACTTGGCAGTTATGGTGTGAAGGAGCCTAGAAACTTCATGTTAAAAATTACACTACTAGGGCCAGCCCAGTAGTACAGTAGTTAAGTTCGTGCACTCCACTTTGGTGGCCCAGGGTGCTGGGGTTTAAATCCCGGGCGAGGACCTACACGCCGCTTATCAAGCCATGCTGTGGCAGGTGTCCCACATATAAAGAAGATGGGCACGGATGTTAGCCCAGGGCCAGTCTTCCTCAGCAAAAAAAGAGGAGGATTGGCAGATGTTAGCACAGGGCTGATCTTC